TTTGTTCGCGAAAAAAATATGTAGAAAAAAAACTTCTTACCTTCCTACAAAAAATTTCCTTCTTATTTGATATTGACTCTATATATATATATATATATATATATATATATATATATATATATTTGTTTCTTATTTATTTTAACAGTAACATATTTTATATTTTATTTCATGTTTGAAAAAATATGTTTATTACTACATTAAAAATAAAATATAGAAATTAAATATCCTCCTACTTTTTGTTCCTACAAATCTTCCTACCCAATTAAATGATAACATGTGTCACATTTAATGCTCATTTAATGATATTTTAGTATACTTAAATGACACATGTCATCAGTTAATTGGGTAGGAGGATTTGTAGGAACAAAAGTAGGAGGATATTTAATTTCTCAATAAAATATACATACTAAGGTGCTGTTTGGCAGAGTCTGAATTTTTAAGATCTGAATTTTTAATAGGTCTGAATTTCTAAGAGGGTCTGAATTTTTAAGATCTTAATTTTAAGATGCTGTTTGGTTGAAACTTCTGAATTTTTGTGTTGAATAACAAAAATGACCATTTTACCCTTCTCTATTTTTTTCCAATTACAACTATAACCATCAATTCCACCAAAAATCATATAAACAACATCAAAATTCATTAAAACAACATCAATATTAACCAAAAGAACATCAAAATTAATAAATATGTTCCATTTAATCATTATGTGAGTTCTTTGTCCACATCACCCTCTCCTTTTTTACAAACCCACGAGGTTTCAATGTGAAATCAACAAAAAACCTCACCATCTACAATCTTTTCAACCTCCTCTGGTTATGAGCTCCAGCAACACACCCCCATAATTATACACATCAAACTCCATTCTTTTCAAGCTTGTAAACGTATATTTTGCAACATAAATCAATAACCAAATTAAATGAATATAAACAAGATTACAAACAGAAATAAATTTATATAATAAATCATCACCTGGAGCAATGCATCATAATGTCCCAAGTAAAGTGGTTGGTGGTGATCAGCCTGTAATAGTTTGTGATGTTGTTGAAACTACTTGGGTAGAGTTGGGAACCCATGGTTATGGAGAAATCAATTTCAATTCAGAAAACCGATCTCAGAAAACTCAATAACAGAAATACAAATAAAACAAAAAACCGAGGACTGATGAGGCTGTCAATCGATTTCAATTATACGAATCGGTTTTCAAGGGAAAAGAAGAAGAACATTCGATCTATTTACAGAGAATCTATTTTCAGGGAAAAAAAACTTACCTGCAACATGAGGCCGTCGTCGCTGGCGGTGCTAGCGGAGGCTGTCGGAGGTGGTGAATGCTGTCGGAGAAGGGTCAATTTTGTTGGAGCTTAGCGTCGGAAGTCGTGAGGGGAGTCGATTTAGGGAGGTCAGCGACCGGAGGAGGTAGAAGAAGCGACTGGAGATGGTCGGAGGAGGGAGGAGACGGAAGAGGCGATCTGAAGGCGAAGGCGGGTGTGTGGTTTTGGAATCCGTAAGAGGGTAAAAGAGGGAAGGACGCGTTCTTTTTCTTTTCAGATACAAGCCCAAGTCTGAAAGTTTAAGAGGCTTTTACAAAATTAAGAGGCTTTTATTCCTATGCTACCAAACACTCTTAATCTGAAAAATTAAGAGCTTGCCTCTTAATTTGTCCATTAAGAGGCTACCAAACAACCCCTAATAATGGTTACTTGACAAATACAAAAATATCATCATATTTGTTTATAAAAAAGTAATATGAATGTATTTTTAACGAAGAAAGATACGACGATACATGTTTCCCCATTATACATCTATATTTTCCAGAAAGAAACTAAGAGTCGAAAATCAACTATTTCTTATTTTTTGCATCTAAAAAAAATTAGTTACATCATCTCTAACAAATGAAGGTTTTTTTGCCGCTTGTCATTCTTACATTAACTTGGACACATGTCATTTTTTGGTATTTTTGAATAAATGTTTTTTCCATTTGTCATTTTGTCATTTTTTTATCTTTTCTTACTTAAGAAATCAAATTTACACATCAATTAATAATTGCCTTAATTAAAAATGGTCAATAAATTACAATATTAATACTTATATATTGTATTTAATATGTTTCCTTTTAAATTAAAATTTTAAATTTTAAATTTCAAATCTAAAATTTCAAATTTAAATAAATTTTTATTTAAACCTTCATATATATTTTTTTGTTTTACCAAACCCGTATAACATACGGGTCTCACAACTAGTATCCAATAAATGCAAAACCCACAGGTAACAAAGTTCATCCGTTGTGTGTTCTTTATATATATATATATATATATATATATATATATATATATATATATATATATAAACAATAAAAAATAACATCTATCCTATCATGATTTTACCCGAAAACGATCAATTTTCAAAATATGATGGGTATGGAGTTACCTAAGTGAAATTGTAAAATCATGATGTTAACAACTTATCAAATAAGCCAATTTAAAACATATGTTCTGCTCACAGTAACATGAATAGTTGAATACCATGGATGGACCAAGTTTAAACATTCATTTATTTCACATAAAATATTTCAAATTTATCACAATTATTATTAGTATACATTTAGTACATATATTTAATTATTAAAAATAAACCATACAACCGGTTCCGACGGATATTCAGCTGGTAACAATTCTTAAAAATTGATCACCGGAACCGCTCTCACTCACAACATTCCGGTTCCGGTTCCCAAGGCATTTACCCGGTCCCATTGCTCACATATGTCTCCATGTGTATCTCATTCCTTGCAGAAATAAAAGATTATTTCTCTCCAAATGAGTTTAGTAAATATTTGCATTATATGTTGCTATTCAATGTATTTAGAAATCTGTTTACAAATCCTCATGAAAATTCTAAAAGCTACACGTTTACCTCAATAGCCCGTTACATACAAATGTCATTGAGCACCACTGTAAAATTAATTTCATCAAACTCTAGATTTGTAAAAAAATTAATGAAACATTTCTAAAGTAGAGTAAAAAATATATACACGGAAAGATTATGTAATAGGGCTTATTACTAAAGAAGATGGTTTTGTTATACATTCTTTAACAATTAAATATTAAATGATAAAGTATTAAAAACCATCAAAAAAACTTTAAAGAAACAAATATTAAAATCCACAATTTACGCTAGTGCCTAGAATTTATGGAATGACTTGAAAGTATTTGATAGTGCTTTTGACAATTTTTCGAGAAATGTTATTGATAAGGTTGTAAAAGTGTTTCTTACATGATCATGCACAAAATGTTAAGCTTGAAACAAACGATTACACATGTTTTTATTGCAATAAACATGAACATTATAATTTTAATCGTCCTTGTGAATGGAAAACATGTGATCATGGCCGAAAGTTTAATGTAGTGAGTATTATATTATTGCTAATGTTAGTGCACCCACGAAGATTTTGATATGAGTCTGTGTGTTTGTAGGTCGACGAAGATAAAAAGACAAAAAAAATAATATAGAAATGGTATGGATTGTCATAGAGAAGATGTTTTCACACGTTTTTTCTTAGGTATGAGGATGTGATCAATTATAAATGAGGTCTCAAGTTCAAGTCTTCTATCATGCTTTTTTTAAAAACCATTATGATTTATCTTTCTTATATTGATGTTATATTTTTTTTCTGCCAAAAGACACAAACACTAAAAATGAATCAAAACCTCATAAATGTATGTTATATGGGGCTAATAAAAACCGAGGCAAGTTTTTCATGTATGTCAGACTTGACAGACAATATGATGATTAGTATTGGGAACTAATATCAAATCGTTGGTAATATCAAATGCAAACAATCCGACAAGTAATAGTGAAAGTTATATGGTGAATCGTGATGAGTTTTAATACAAAATATAAATTCGTTTCTCACAAAAACCGCAACGGAAGTCTTATAAAAATAACAAGTTTATTTTTAGTTTATAACAAAACCAAACCATCAATGATCTATATATAGAGGTTAGAATGAAATAAAAACAACCAAATAGTGTTTTAGAATGACAACCTTTGAAGCCTTTGAACCCACTTGGTTTTGGGGTGTTGATGAAGATAGCAAAAATTCAAGAGTAGAATTTATCTATGTGTATCCACCATCAAAAGTAAGGCACTTGAAATGCTAGTTCTTTCTTGTAATACTTTGTTCTTTAAGCCGTTGAGTGCTTAATTATCTATGTGTATCCACCATCAAAAGTAAGGCACTTGAAATGCTAGTTCTTTCTTGTAATACTTTGTTCTTTAAGCCGTTGAGTGCTTAAATAATTAAGCACTAAAGGAAGACACAAAGTAAACACCAAATCTTCACAATTGAACTTCAAAAGAAGAGAGGAAGAGAAGAAAAGGTCATGGCTTTTTGGTGCTTTGGAAGAGAGAATTCACATTAACAACTAGCTCATTTCTCATGCATATGTGTCCCTTATAGAGTCACATGCAAGGTAAATCTTTTTCATTATAATACTCTAAAGTATTATAAAGCATAAAGCTAAAGGGGACAAGACATGGAGGCAAGGCATGGAAGTTGACAAACAACCTCCATAATGGCCATATCTCTAAAGAAGAGAAGGATTCTTTAAATTTCATAAACTCAAAGTTTATAAAATATAAACTTTATCTTTAGGTAAAAGACAAAAGAATTCAACTAGTCCAAAAGGTTGTGCATGACTTATTAATTCATACCATATGAAATAATAACTTTTTTGGAACGGAAAATTAATCTAATCCTAAACTACTCCTAAATCCACATACGTCTCGACGAGACTCGAACTCTCAACCACAAGGAGGAGAGTAACACCCGATACCACTGGGCTAGAAGCCCTTTGGTCCATATGAAATAATAACTAGTTATACTCTCTTATAATTATTATTTTCACACAACAGTAATTATTCCCTAATTAAAATAAAAGAATTGATATTATTTATTAATAATCATATTAATAATAAATATACAAAATATGTCAACTTGATAAATGTGTG